TGGAGAGTTTCCTGCCACAGCACAGGAACTCAGAGCAGGAACCCTGCAGTCTCTGTGAGCTGAAGACAGAGGGCTGGGCATCCAGAGATCCCAGGGGCCAGGCTTCACAGGGCAGAAATCCAGGGAAGAGAGAGCCACACAGGGAAAGGACTCCGAAAACATGCAGAGCCCCTCCAGGCTTCAGCGGAGTACAGATCAGTGTAAGCGTAAAAGGAAATCATCAAAGTCTGGGAAAGAATAACACGAAAGTTTTAGAGGAAACAGTCCCCAAGTTCACATAGGGCCAGGAACAGCTCCTGTTCCCACTAGTCACACTGAAAAAATAAAACCTCATTCTGGTTGCATCTGTTATAGTACTCAGAAGGGTTTTGCCTAGCAGCAAAGCAAAATTAGCTCAAGGCTAAATGCTTCTCTAGTTCGTGTAACAAAGTATAAAGCAAGGCCTGAAAGGATGATGCTGTCTCTAAATAAATTAACCACATTCTAGAATTAAAGTACAAAAATATCCAACACCAAATAAGGCAAATCTCACAATGTGTGGAATCTAATAAAAAAAAATTACCAAATGTGAAGAAGCAGGAAAATGTAACCTATAATGAGAAAAATCATTCCACTGAAAACCCAAAAATGACAAAGATGATAGAATTAGTAAACAAAGATATTAAAAGTTACTATAATTGTATTCATATGCTCAAGAAGTTACAGGAAATATTAAACATGTTAACCAGATACACAGAAGAGATTTTTTTAAAGATACAAACCAAACTTCTGGAGATAAAAACTACAATGTCAGAAATGAAAAATAAACCAGATGGGATTAACAAGTGACTAAGTATTGCCAAAAAATAATTAGTAAACTTGAAAACAGCAGTAGAAATTATTCAAAATGAAACAAAGAGAAAAATGAATGGGAAAAATAAAAAAAATTATGAGTACCACTATGAGAGGTCAAATACACATGTAAACTGGAATCCTAGGAGACAGAAGAGGAGGGATCAGGAAAGACACATCTGAAGAAATAACAGCCAAAAATCTTTCCAAATTTGATGAAATATATCACTACATATCCAGGAAGCAAAATGAACACAAACAAAAGACATTACAAGAAAACTACAGACCAAAGTCTCTCATAAACACAGATGCAAAAAGTACTTACAAAAGTTAATAAATTGGATCCAGCAACATATAAAAGGATAATACATTGTAACCAAGTGGAATTTATTCCAGGAATGCAACTTTTACTTTAAGAGTCAAAAGTCACCCAATCACTGTATCAACTGACTAAATAAGAAAGATCATCACAAATAGATACAGAGAAGTATTTGAAAAAGTACAATACCCATTCCTATTAAAAATTCTCAGCACATTAAGAAAAGAAGGAAACTTTCTCAACATGATAGAGAGTATCTATGATAAACCTATAGCAGCCATAATGTGCGTGAAAGTGTTAGTCGTTCAGTCATGTCTGACTCTTTGCAACCCCATGGACTGTGTAGCCTGCCAGGCTCCTCTGTCTATGGAATTTTCCAGGCAGGAGTACTGGAGTTGGTTGCCCCTTACTCCAGAGGATCTTCCTGACCCAGGGATCAAACCCGTGTCTCACGTACTGCAGGCAGATGCTTTACCATCTGAGCCGTGAGGGGAAGCCCATCATATCTAAGGGTAAAGAACAAATGCGTCCTCCCTAAGATTACAAATAAAGCAAGGGTGTTCACTCTCACACTTCTATTTCACAGTGCATAGGAGGTGCTAGCCAGTGCAATACGGAAAAAGAAATTAATTAAAGGAATGCACATTAAAAAGGAAGAAATAAAAGTATTTTTATTCCCAGAAGACAGAATTATCTATGTGCAAAACTTTATGGACTCTATAAAAACAAAATGAGAACAAATGAATTTAGCAAATTTCCAAGCCAGAATATCAATATAAGGAAATCAATTATATATCTACATTGGTAAGGAACAATTGGTATTTAACTTTTAAAATGTGCAAGTTATCACAGCATCAAAAAGAAACACTTAAGTATAAATTTTTTTAAAGCTGTGCAAAATCTGTACACTGAAAATTATAAAACACTGTTCGGAGAGGTTAAAGAAGACCTTAAAAAATGGTTTAAGTTAAAAACCTAATCAAAATTCTAGCAGGTTATTCAAAGAAACTGACAGGATAATTCTAAAATTCACATGAAAATGCAAAATGCCTAAAATGGTCAAAGCAATTTTGAAAACAAAAAATAAAGCTGAAGAACAATGTGAGAAAATTAGATCACTAATTCCAAACAACTATAGGATCACCTTATGACATTATTTTAATACAGAGATGGCCATAGCTTTTTCACATATATTTCATCTTTGTAAAACATAAAAATATTACACATATCCCCTGTGACAACTGCCTCATCTTGTTCCTTCCTTCCTCCTTCCTAGAGGTAATTATGGTGAGTCCCGTGACCTTCTTTCCAGAACTTTTTTGCATATCTATGTACATGTCTATGTAGACTTAGAAAATCAGAGTGCTAGCACATCTTGGAGATACTGCAGGTTCAGTTCCAGACCACCACAATTAAATGAAAATCACAATAAAGCAAGTCACACAAATTTTCTGATTTGCCAGTTCATATGTTCACACTATACTGTATTCTATTAAGACTGCGATAGCACTATGCTTAAAATAATACTGTACAAGCCTTAATTTAAAAACAGTATATTGCTAAAAAATGCTAAGCATCATCTGAGCCCCCAGCAAGTCACAGTAGCAAACAACACTAAACATGACTGATCACAGAACACCATAACAACCATAATAATGAAAACATTTGAAATCTTGTGAGAATTACCAAAATGTAACACAGAGACATCAGGTGACCAAATGCAGTTGGAAAAATGGCTCAAAGCACAACTACCACAAACCTTCAATTTGTTAAAAAAAAAAAATACAGTATCTGTAAAGTACAATAAAATGAGGTATGTTGTGTTGTATGTGTTTACTACCATAAAGGAATAGATGAGAATGAGAAAAGCTTAACTTCTGGACAGCGGTAACCTAAGGCAGGGCCAGAGATGGGTCAGGGTATGAGTATGGGTCAGCAGAAGGATAAGGATGCCCTTAGAAAAGATCGCATCTATGCAGCTTCAAGTCTCTTGGTAATGTTTTATTTTCTTGACCTGGCTGGCAGGAAACAGGGACACCTTGAATATATTTGGGTAAAAAGATTTCAAAACTTTTCAAAACTATAACATTTTCTATTACTTGAAAGTCAAATACAGTGATCCCCATAGTACCACTGTCACAACTTTCAATACAGGATATTCATGTAGCCTTCACAGCCAGGCATACTGAACATGTATGGTACTGAAGACAGTAAGTGTAAGACAGTACTGAAGCATAATCGTTAATATTATTATGCATGTCACTGTGAAGAACAGTACAGAGGTGCCTTAAAAACTACCGAGCTACCATATGACCATGTAATCCCACTCCTGGGTACATATCCAGAGAAAAAGATGAGCCAAAAGGATACATGCATCCCAATGTTCACTGCGGCACTGTTTACAACAGCCAGGACATGGAGCAGCCTAAACGCATATTTCACTTCAACAAGTGAACCACAAAACATTATATATGTTTTAAATGCACTGATGTTGAAAAAATCTCTAAGACATCCTATTTAAAGAAAAAAAGAAAGTTTCAAAATAATATGTACATTTATTTTTTAAAATATGCATAACTCTGTTTACAATGGCTAAGACATGGAAAGAACCTAAATGTCCACTGACAGAGGAGTGGATAAAGATGTGTGTGTGTGTGTGTGTGTGTGTGTGTGTGTGATGGAATATTACTCAGCCGTTAAAAACAATGAAATAACGTCATTTGCAGCAACATGGACGGACTTAGAGAGTGTCATCCTGAGTGAAGTAAGTCAGACAGAGAAGGAGAAATATTGTATGACATCCCTTATATGTGGGATCGAAAAAGAAATGACACAAATGAACTTACTTACAAAACAAGAAGAGACTCACAGACTTAGATTAAACTTATGGTTGCCAGGGGAAGGAATAGTTAGGGAGTTTGGGATGGTCATGTGCACGCTGGATATTTAAAATGGGTAACCAACAAGGACCTATTGTATAGTACATGGAACTCGGCTCAATTTTATCAGGCAGCCTGGATGGGAGGGGACTTTGGGGAAGAACTGATACATCTATATATATATATGGCTGAGTCCTTTCGCTGTTCACCTAAAACTTCCACAGCGTTGTTAATCGGCTATACCCCAATACAAAATAAAAAGTTCAAAATAAAAAATTTTTTAAAGTCGATAAAATGTATCATTAGGCATGTTAACAGGATGTGATTACATTTTGCAAACAGAGAAATTTACAAAACAAATACAGTGGTGAGGATTTGCTTTAAAATATTATAGGAAAGAGGTGCATGAGACAGATGAAGGGCAAAAATATTAATTATTGGAGCTAGATGACAGGTTTGTGCAGGCTCTTTACAAGAGTCAAGTTCAAAGTTTTTTTTAACGAAAATTATATTTTAATCCTGCAGAAAAGATGTAATCTTACTAGTGTTAGTCTCACAATGTATTTCTCCAGAAGAGTAAAATTAAGTACTTTTTTATTCTGAGAACTTCTCAATAAAATGAGTTTAGACTCTGGACTCAAACATGTAAGATATTTTTAAAGTCCTATAATAAAAAGGCCCCAGTTGAGCACTTATTAACAGCAAAAGCATCTCTACAATCAACTACAAAACCTAAATTAACTCTGATCTCTTTTGTGCATTAATCCATAATATTCTCTTCCACCCAGAGCTCTCTCTCGAAACAAAATGTTTCGAGATCACAGAACAAAGAATGTCCTCCTCTCAAAGGCAAGCTACTGCTGATGTGTAACCAACAGCATCAGGCGTCTGTGGATAAAAATAGCCTTCAAACACTGCATGCACCAAAGACCAAAGTCCCGGGGAAAGATGAAGAAGAACAAAGCAGTTACCAGGGAGGAATTCGGCCGGCTGAGAGTTTGCCCTTCTGCCCTTCACACAAGAGTCTGTTTGCGACTGAGACTGGGTTCTTGATTCCTATAAAATAAAATCAGCAGAAAGTGAAATCAGAAAGTCTTCAAGTTTCCCACTCAATTTTGTGTCTGTTTCAGTAAGACAACTTGTAAGTATCAATATCTTGGAAAACTTTCTATAAATATACTAATGAAAACTGCTATTTATCATGAACAATAAGGAGCAAATTAAAGATATGAACGCCTACAGATATAAGAACAGAACAAACATAAAACATACATTCTCATTTTATCATGTGCTATACAGCAAAGACTGAATTTGAAGCAACACAAATTTAAATTAGGCTCCTTTTTAATAGATTTCAGGATAGAATTAAAAATTTAACTGGAAATTTGCCATCTATTATCAAAACCATGAATTTCCTCTAAGGAATACACCTGACTACAAACAGCTTCAAATTTCTCCTTAGGGAGAAAAATTGACAGACAAAATTTTTAAATCTCACCTGCAAGAAAGAATAAAGTCCTACAAATGGGGAGACAGTGGGGAGAAGAGGCCAAAGACATACAATTGGGACTGATGTGGCTAGGATTGCTTCCAGGAGGGAGAACAAAATGAAGAGTGAGAAAAGGATGCTTCTCCAGAGGAAGAATGGGATAGGAGGTACTAGGGTGAAAAAGAATTGCCAGGGTGAAAATAACAATGACAAATATGATGATGATTATGACAGAAGACAGTGACAGTAACTTAGGATCCAGTATGTGCCAGGCCCAGTGCCAAACCTTTACATGTCTCAGATTATTTAATTGACACTTCACCTCTATCACATAAGTATAACTTTAACTCTATATGATTACTGAGGAAACATCTGCAAAGGTTAAGTCACCTGCCCAGGGTCACATGCTGATATTTTAACAGAGGAAGCTAATGACCACACCCTTAACCACTAAGTTATAGTCTCAGGACACTATTAATACAAAAAAAAAAAAAAAAAAACAGGATATAAAGAGATTGAAAAACCTCAGATTAAACAACAGATAACTTAAAACTAGATATTTAGCTAACACCAAAAACTACTGTCCCCCCACTAGAAAAGGATAAACTATCAAAAGAAGAAAAACTCAGATCTCTGTACAAAGCTCTTAAAATAAATTTATTTCTGTGTCTGATGATTCAGTGGTATAAAGACATTAATTAACTGATAAATTAACATAAATTCAAAGCTATATATTCACCATCAAAGCTTCAAAAGGATATCTATGATGTGTGAAAAACTGACTCTGAAATTCACCAGGTAAACTTTGTAAAAAAAAAAAAAAAAAAAGAAGAGGCACTCATCTTACAAAATACCATTTTCTTATTAAAAGCTATTGTAATTGAGTGTGGTTTATGTACAAAATAGACAAATATATCAATGGAACAGAACAAAGCTGAAGTTGAGACACAGACACGTGTGACTGGGGATATTTAATACGTCATACAGACAGTATTTCAAATGCAGGAAAGGATGGACTGCCTATGAGAGGCGGCAGAGCGGAGGGCGACGACGGTCGGACTGCAGCCGCGCCAGCTACCAGCTGATTGCTTTGCAGGTACAAATAAACCCCTGGCTGCCTGACGGGTGAGCGCGGCATGGGCCGTCAGTCCGCGCGGCAGTGGCCAGCTGCCACGCTGGGCAGCGTGCTCAGTGGAGGGCCGGGAGACACACCGCGGCGGCCGGCGCCCGGAGCGCGCAGGCACTCACGCCACGTGTCCCGCTCGGCTCTCTCCAGCGCCCAGCGCCTGCGGGGTGCAGCTCTCTGCAGCATTCGCCCACCACAAGCTTCCCCAACTCACGGCAGCACAGCAGACAGCCCCAGAGAGAAAAGGACCATCGTCACGGATCCCCACGCCTTCTCCTCAGTCCCACACAGAGAAGGTACCCTGTGGGGCTGGCTGTCTAGGGAGCCAAAACCCCAGTGCTCATCCTAGGGGCGGAGGTTTCCCTCCCACGGCTCCCTGGGCTCTGCGCGCCCACCGGCCAGTCTGAGCCCACAGGATGGTTTCTGCTCCCACACGACTGTGGCCTGGGTGACGCAGCAACTTCCCCGCCAGACAGCAGGCTGCAGCCACACCTAGTTCAGTGAGGTCCGAACTTTCTTCCACGTTTTCCTTACATGGGTATTTCCCCTCTGCCCTTTACATTAAGTTTCCCCTGTTTAACTGCTGTGTGGTTTCTGTCTCCTAGCTGGACCCAGTCTGATACAACAAATTCGGCAAATGACTAAATCTCTCCTGTGTCTCAGAGTCCTCAATGATAAAATGGGTTTCATTTCAGAAACTGATCAACAAACAGTGCATTCAAAAAGCCAATGAAAAATAAATTACACGTATATTTGAAGAATATATAAGTGACTGCACTTACAATTATGACTGGGAGCTGACTGTGACTCAGATCATGAAATCCTTATTGCCAAATTCAGACTTAAATGGAAGAAAGTAGGGAAAATCACTAGACCATTCAGGTATGACCTAAATCAAATCCCTTGTGATACAGTGGAAGTGACAAATAGATTCAAGGGATTAGATCTGAAAGACAGAGTGCCTGAAGAACTATAAACGGAAGTTTGTTACATTGTACAGGAGACAGTGATCAAGACCTTTCTTCCAAGAAAAAGAAAGGCAAAAAGGCAAAATGGTTGTCTGAGGAGGCCTTACAAAAAGCTATAAAAAGAAGAGACGTGAAACACAAAGGGAAAAAGGAAAGATATACCCATGTGAATGCAGAGTTCCAAAGAATAGCAAGGAGAGATAAAAATGCCTTCCTCAGTAATCGGTGCAAAGAAATAGAGGAAAAAATAAAATGGGAAAGACTAGAAATCTCTTCAAGAAAATCAGAGATACCAAGGGAACATTTCATGCAAAGATGGGCACAATAAAGGACAGAAATGGCATGGCACTAACAGAAGCAGAAGATATTAAGAAGAGGTGGCAAGAATACACAGAAGAACTATACAAAAAAGATCTTCATAACCCAGATAATCATGATGGTGTGATCACTCACCTAGAGCCAGGTATCCTGGAACGTGAAGTCAAGTGGGCCTTAGAAACCATCACTATGAACAAAGCTAGTGGAAGTGATAGAATTCCAGTTGACCTATTTCAAATCCTAAAAGATGATGCTGTGAAAGTGCTGCACTCAATNCAGACTTTATTTCTCTGGGCTCCAAAATCACCGCAGATGGTGACTGCAGCCATGAAATTAAAAGACACTTGCTCCTTGGAAGAAAAGCTATGACCAACCTAGAGAGCATATTAAAAAGCAGAGACATTACTTTGCCAACAAATGTCTGTCCAGTCAAAGCTATGGTTTTTCCAGTAGTCATGTATGGATGTGAGAGTTGGAAAGCTGAGCACCGAAGAATTGATGCTTTTGAACTGTGATGTTGGAGAAGACTTTTGAGAGTCCCTTGGACAACAAGGAGATCAAACCAGTCAATCCTAAAGGAAATCAGTCCTGCATTTCATTGGAAGGACTGATGCTGAAGCTGAAACTCCAATACTTTGGCCACCTGATGCGAAGAACTGACTCATTTCAAAAGACCCTGATGCTGGGAAAGATTGAAGGAGGAAGGAGAAGGGGATGACAGAGGATGAGATGGTTGGATGGCATCACCGACTCAATGGAAATGAGTTTGGGTAAACTCTGGGAGTTGGTGATGGACAGGGAGGCCCAGCGTGCTGCGGTCCATGGTGCTGCAAAGAAGCAGACACAACTAAGCGACTGAACTGAACTGAACTGAAAACCTTAAGAAATGCAAAAACCACAAAAAGGAAAAAAATAAGTTTGACAAATAAAATTTTAAGTTCCAATATGATAAAGCACATTATAAACAGGGTTAAACGGCAAGCCACACAAGAAGTGTAAACAGAGAAATGCTAATGGCCTTGAAAAATATGAAATTTCATTAAATGCTAATAATATCTCATAATAAAAGAAATTAAAACTAATTGAAATGCTCTTCATACCTATCAGAAAAATCAGAAAAGATACAGAAGATTACAGCAAATGTGTAAGTAAACTGACCTAATTGATATATATAGAAAACACACCCAACAACGACGTACTACTCTTTGGAAGCTCTCATGGAACATTCATTAAAATAAACCATAAGCAGAGCTGCAAAGTAAGTCTCAAAACATTTCAAGGGGCTGGAACTTTCAGACTATGTTCTCTGACGACAGTGACATTCAACTGGAAGTCAATAAAACGGTTAGGCAAATAAATCTGACAACTCATTTAAAAAAGACAAATTCCTTGGAAAATACACATAAGAAAAATATAGATAGTCATATAACTGGTAAGAAAATTGAAACCCATGTATTTAAAACTTTCCACAAAGAAAATTCCAGTAATTCAAAATAACCAATGAATTCTTCCAAATAACTTTTAGAAATCATTCTAATGTATGCATACCCTTTCAAACAATATAGGAGGAAAAAAAAACCCAACTCATTTAATAAAGCCAGCCAAACATGATTCCAAAATCTAAAAAGAATATTTTAAGTAAAATTAAAGCTGATCATTACATGAACATAGATGTCAAAATCTTAAATATCAGGAAATCAAATCCAGTGGATGTAAAAAACAAGATAAAAAATTCAATCATGAAGACTTTATGCCAGGAATGAAAAGTTGGGTGAGCATTCAAAAAAAAAAATCATAAATTTTATCATATCTACAAAATAAAGAATAAGAGTCAAAGATGCAAAAAAAAACACCTAATATTCAATACCCATTCAAAATAAAACCTATCAGTAAACTAAGACTAGAAGGAAACATCCTCAATCTGATAAAGAGCATTTATGAAAATACTATAGCCGGCAGCACACAGTATGGTGAAACATATCAGAGTACCCCTCTAAGATCAGGAACAAAACCAGGATGTACACTATCATCACTTGTATTCCATACTGCATTGAGTCAGAGCCAGAACAATAATGCAAGGTAAAAAACAAAAATTTTAAATATTGGAACAGAAAAAGCAAAACTGTCATGATTCAAAGATGATGTGACTGTGTATATAGAAATTATAAAATAAATTTATTTAACTGCTTAAATTAATAAATAAAGTTATCAAGGCCACTGAATACAAGTCCAACACACAGACCTCAACTGTATTTCTAAATACAAAAATAACTGGATACTAATATTTTAAAATATATACTTAGAGTAGCATAAAAAAATATCTGGAATAAATCTAATAGAAGATGTATTAAGATATCTATATTAAAAACCATAATATATTGCTGAGAAAAGTAAACATTACTTATATAGATGTACACTTTCCATGTTCACAACAGAAAGATGCAATATTATTAAGATGTCAGTTGTCCACATATGGTTCTATATATATTTTCAACACAATACCAATCAAAATCTCAGCAGGGTTTTATTATGGACACGACAACTTGATCCTAACAATTTTATGAAAATGCCATAAATTGAAAATAGCCCATACAACTATAAAGGCGAAAAAAGGAAGCTGTAAATCTTATATGACCAGACTATTGAGACACAATGTCAAGCTATAGCAATCAAGACAGTATGGCACTGGCAATAACACAATAGACGGAACGATGGAATAGAAGGTATAGAAACAAACTCCTACACGTACAGTTATCTGATCTGCCAACACTCTTCGGAGGAAAGGATTATCCTTTCTACTGACAATGGCAATAAGTTATCTGGATATTCATAACAGGGAAAAAAATTAAAGTTGGTTCCAACTTCACCTACTCTAAAATGAATCTGAACTTCATAAGAAAGCTAACTATGAAGGGTTAAAAACAATAGAACTGTTATCTTCAACAGGAAGCTATCCTCAAAATTTTGGGTAGACAAAGGTTTCTTAAAATACAAAAAAAAAAAAAAAATTAGCCATAACATAAACAGTTGATAACTTAAACCTCATTAGAAGACTGAAAAGGTGAACCAGAGACTGGGAGTAGATATTCACAATGCATGTATCTGACAAAGGATTTACATCAAATATATAAAAAGTACTCCAACAAATCAATATTTAAAATCCAATAAAAAGTACATGTAAAACAAAAACACAGTACACAAGGATATCTCAATGGCCATGACATTTGAAAATATTCTCAATATCATTAGTCACCAGGGAAACTCATATTAAAACAGTAATACCGCTAATACATATATCAAATGGCTAAATTTTAAGAAGAGTAACAATACCAAACATTGCCAAAGACGTTAAGTAACTGAAATGCTCATAAATCGTGGGAGTATAAATTGTAAAAACTACTTTTGAAAACTGGGCAGTTTCAACTGTAGCCAAACACATATGTATCTAAATTTACCATTCTAAATCCTGGGTTTATACTCAAAGGAGGTTAGTGCATATGTCTACTCAAAAAGTTGTACAAAAATATTCACTGGAGTTTTTATAATTATTATTCATGAGTCAAAAACAAGAAATTAGTCAAATATCCACCGAGGAGAACAAACAAGTTATTATATATTCATGCAACAAAATGCTGCTACCGCAAAATTTAAAAACTATCATGATACAAATCATATGTCAATCTCACAGGCATAACAGTAACCAAAAGAAATCAGACACAGAGGGGTATGATTCCATTCATATGGATTTGAGCAAAGGGCAAATTAATCTGTAGTGCCTAAAGTCAGAATTAGGGGAGGAGGAGGAGCAGGTAGGACGGGAATACCAGCAATATAAACCTCGAAGAGGCAAAAAGAACCTGTCTGGGAGTTTGGAAATGTTTTCCATTTTGACACGGAAATCTTTTATGTCTTGATTTGGGGTGGTGGCTTACAAGGTTATATACATGCAGGAATTCATGAAGCTTTATATTTAAAATCTGTGCCCTTCATGTATATTTCACTTCAATAAGTGAACTAATATACATTATATATATTTTATAAGTAGTGATGTTTAAAAAAACTCTAAGCCATCCTATTTACAGAAAACAAGTTTCATAATAACTGATATTTTTTTAATTTACCATTAGTCTTAAAGTTTCAAAATACATTTATTTTTTTAAAATATGTGCAAAACTGTATTTCTACTACATATAAATACAGAAAAAATAATTTTATTTTACTGATTAAACCCTCCAGGGAGAGTTTTGGAAGGAAAGATTTGGAAGATCAAAGGTAAATTTTATTTATATCATTTGAATTTTTTAACAATAAAAATATATTATTAGTGTATTCAAATAATTGCAAAATTAATGGAATATGCCAATTCCAATTTTAAATGTCTGTAATCTCTTGAGGAGATGAAGGAGAGTGATCACACTCTAACCAAAGACTTGGACATATGCTGTTTCACTGTTTTCTTTAAAACTATCTATAGGTAAGATTTTATGTTTTAAATTCAATAAAAAAAAAATGTTTGTTTTCAACATTATTATAAGCAAGAATGATGAAAACAACTGGGCTGTCTTTAGGAGGAATGAAATGTTAATATTCAGTTTTTTTTAAGAGTAGAGATCATGTGTTTTATTGTCTACATACCACTCAGTGCCCCAACAGCTCCAAAATTCAAGGATTTTCCATCCATTATACTGGCATCACATTCAATTTCACCCAAGAGATTTAGATTAGATCCCATTCCTGCATTTGTAAAAGGAGAATCCTAAAAGATAAAAACAAAAATTAAAATACCATTAGTCTTTTTTTAATTTACCGTTAGTCTTAAAGAAAATTGCCAATGCTTGAAAAACTCTTCTAAACACTAGGAAGGTAAAGAACACTTCCCAACTCATTGTATGATATCAGTACAACACTGATTCCAAAACAAGGCAAAGACAAGGAACAAAAACTACAGATCAATATACTCATGAATATCGACACCAAAATCCTCAAGGAAACAAAATGCAGCAAAATATGAAAGCATTATATACCATGAACAAGAGGGACTCCAGGAAAACAAGTTTGGTTTAATAACTTAAGCTCACTGTAATATACCATGTTAATACAGAACAAAACCAAAACCAAAAAAAAAGATCATATTAATAGACCAAGAAAAAGTATCTGACAAAATTCAATATGCTTTCATGAGAAAAACACTCAGCAAACTAGAAAAAGAAGGGAAATATACTTAACATGATAAAGAGCATCTACAAAAGTAAGTCCAGAGCTAACATCATAATTAATGGTGAAAGACCCTTTCCCCTAGCATCAGGAACAACACAGCAACACTCGTCTCACCACTTACATTCAAAATTATAGTGTATATTCTGGATAGGATAATTAGGCAAGAAAAAGAAACAAAAAGCATCCAGATTAGAAAGGAAGAAGTAAAATTACTTCTTTTGGAAGATGACATGAACTTGTATACAAAAAATCCTAAAATCTCCATTAAAAAACTATTCGAACCAATAAAAAAGTTCAACGGGGTTGTAAGATATAAGTTCAATATGCAAAAACCAATTGTATTTCAGTACATTAGCAATGAAAAATCTGAAAATGAAATTAAGAAAACAATTCAACTTATAATCACATCAAAAAGAATAAAATACTTAGAAAAAAAATTAACAAAAGAAGTGTAAGATTTGTACATGTATGTAAAACATGTTTTTAAAAAATTAAAGGCCTGAATCAAAAGAAGGACCCATGTACATTGAACAGAAGACTTAGTATCTTTAAGATGACAATACTCCCCAACTTGGTCTGATTCAATACAATCCTGTATTGAATCCTCACTGCTGTTTTTTACAGAATTTGATAAATTAACTTTACAATTCATATAGAACTACAAGGAATTAAGAACAGTCAAGACATTCGTGTTTTGTAAAGTTCTAGGAAGCTTTTCTCACATGCCAGAAAGGGGCTGGGTTGATGGCAGTTTTAAACTTTCAGCTTCTTTTTTTTTTTTTTTAAACTTTCAGCTTCTTTTGAGGACACTGGCTGAGACAGACACTAGGAGTTGGACTGGAGCGGGGGGAAGGGGGGTGTCATCTCATTGTCTCTGGGGACCCCCACACCCCTAGCCCCTGTTTCTTTTTTCTCAATATTGATTAAAGGTGAGCTTTCAAAGGCTGCCCAACCACAAGTTACGCTTTAGCCCAGGCCATGTGCCTTCTGATGTTTATGGATTCATGGAAGTAGAAGCTAAGAGGAGTATGGACGGGCCAGTGGATAGCAGAGAACATTAGGGAAGATGCATGTTTGCTTGGTTAAGGTCCCTGGAATGGCCCAGGCCTGGTGGGTACCAATTAAACTTTCCACGGCCTAGAAGTCCTAGGCTATCTATCCAGCGCTTCATGCTGTATCACACAAGCCCCTTTGCCAGGGTGGGCCCAGATGTCTTTGAACTGGACCACATGTGCATAGTCTGGTCCTTGCTGACTGGCAGGACAACTCCTAGGAAATGTCTTAGTGCAAAGTCAGAAGTCACCACATGATGTTGTGTTTCTGTCCCTGAAAAACTAAGAATGGGGTTTAAGGAAAAACTGGGGCTTCTTTTTAAAATTAAAACAAAACAAACAACAACAACAAAAGAATAGTCAAAACAATCTTTCAAATAAAAAAACAAAATTGGAGGGCTCACACTTCTAGGTTTCACAACTTACTACAAATGATAGTAATCGAGACAGTCTGACATGGACATATAGCTAAGGACAGATATGTAGATCAATGCACTAGAACTGTCCAGAAATAAGCCTTATACTTATGGTCAACCCATCACGGTTCTCACAGAGACAATACTGGAGTAGTTTGTCATGACAAAGGTCTATATAGTCAGAGCTAGGGTTTTTCCAGTAGTCATGTACGGATTTGAGATTGGACCATAAAGAATTCTGAGCAGCAAAGAACTGATACTTGCAAACTATGGTGCTAGAGAAGATTCTTGAGATACCTCTGGACAGCAAGGAGATCAAACCTGGAAATCAACCCCAAATATTCACTGGAAGGACTGATGCTGAAGCAGAAGCTCCAATACTTTGGTCACTTGATGCAAAGAGGGTGACTCATTGGAAAAGATCCTGATGCTGGGAAAGATTGACAGCAACAGGAGAAAGGGGCAGCAAAGGATGAGATGGGCATGATTGATTCAATGGACATGAATTTGAGAAAACTCCGGGAGATAGTGGAGGACAGGGGAACCTGGTGTGCTACAGTCCATGGGGTAACAAAGAGTTGAACATGACTTAGTGACTAAACAACAAGTCTTTTCCAAAAATGGTGATGGATCAACTGGACATCCAATGCAAGAGAATATCTGAGTCAGAAATCTCAGTCAATCCAGAAAATTAACTCTGTTCTAAGCTAACACAAATACTATCCATTAAACCAGGGCAATTCTTTACCCACCTAAAGATCATCAAATGTACAAAATCATCTACAAATGTCCCTAGTTTCTTGAATTTCTGCCAGACCCAAGGAAAACTGACCACAAAACAAAGATCTCCACCATACGTGTTAATACATATAACTTGAGCAAAGGGGTCAGGGATTTGAGACCAGGGCTTTTGCCCTAATGCAAATAGAAAACCTAACCGTCCATAGGATTTTACAAATAAGATCACAGGGAAAAAAAAACACAAAGTGACTGTAAAATTAAATGGAAAATGAGTGATACAGAGAATAAGTATTTTGAGAACTCCAAAGGAAATGGGCCAGTACGAGATGAAGTTAATAGCAGTCTTCCTGAAGAATGTATAACAAATGCAAAGACTGGTCAGAAAGTTCCACTTGGTGGATGTGCTAGGAGCAACATGTAGGCAGCCACAAAGTATCAGAGTCACAGAAGACACATTTAGGAAATATGTTTGGTGGGAGCCAAATAGGCTGGACTTGACTGGAAAAAATGGTGAGAAGCTCTTCAAGCTTTCTATAGAAACAAAAGTCAGGTATACTGATCAAGGAAACATAAACTGATATTCACATATTATTTGAAAAGGAAGAGGAGGAAACTGAAATCAGAGAGACCAAACTGAAGGCCTTTTGACAATGTAGGTTTGAAATGATAGCAACAGGGAAGAAGAAGAAGAAAGAGAAGGAAAGGACCATAACTTGCAAACTTGGGAGACAAAACCATTATTAAGAAAAAGCATTTTCTAAGATGAAGGGAAGACAGTGGATAATTAGGTGTAACGAGTTTGAATAAGGCCTTCCAAGTAAATATTCTACCTAAATCATTTCACAACTTAAACTTGGGAAAGAGATCCAACTAAGAACAGACTATGGTTTAGAACAGATAAAGACTGAATTTTTACCCTAGATTATTTCCTTTTTCTCTTTTTTTTTTTTTTTTGAGCAGAGAAAGGGTTTCCTGCAGGTTCAAGCAAGGAGAATGGGTAGCTTGTGCTCAAAAACCTGAACCCATATATTAAAAAATATAAAAACCCAAGTCATAAACCTCTCTGACACTGAACAGAGAAACTGTACAAGTAACACAAGTAAATTACCACTGTGTGTGTGTGTGTATGTGTGTGTGTGTGTGTGTGTTAGGTGCTAAGTCAGGTCCTACTCTTTGCGACCCCATGGTCGCATTCCTTCTCCAGAATTACCACCGTATTTCAAGGTTTTTTTTTTTTAATCTACATAACCTCCCTTGCCAATCACATATATCTTTCAAAATATGTGAGAAAGGAATTGAAATGTGAGAAAACTTTAAATTTAAATTTATGGATGCTTCAGTAATTCCCAAAATATACATACAACATATAACAGTACACACACAATCTTAACAATCTTTAAACTGAATAAGCTCTATAAAATTAGGGCTTCCCAGGTGGCTCAGTGGTAAAGAACCCACCTACCAAAGCAGGAGACATGGGTTCGATCCCCGGGTCGGGAAGATCCCCAAGAGTAGGAAATGGCAACCCACTCCAGTATTCGTGCCCAGAGAACTCCATGGACAGAGGAGCCTGGGGGACCACAGCCTGGGAGTCACAAAGAGTAGGACATGACAGAGCACAAATGCACATGCACACTACAAAATTAATTTGAATATAATACTGAGTATAGTATAAAAATATAAATACAAATATAATGCAGGAGACACAGGAGGAGAGGATTCAACCCCGGGGTTGGGAAGATCCCCTGGAGGAGGAAATGGGAACCCACTGCAGAACTCTTGCCTGGAAAATTCCATGGACAGAGGAGCCTGGCGGGCTACAGTCCATGGGGTCATACAGAGTTGGACATGACTGACAGACTGAGCAAGGATACAACGTTAGAAATCACAAAGGGAACAAAACCAGATTATTCTAAAAATGACTCTTGCCTGATGGCTTAAACTTGATATCTTAAAAATACATAAGGAAAAAGGATATAAGCAATTTTTTTTTCAAAAATATTTCTCCTACTTCAAAATACATTTATAATGTCAAAAGTGTGTCTACTAAACCTCTGCTTCTGACCCTGAAGCCATAATAGGGATCATATGCATCCTCCTAACTAGAAAAATCAGACAAAGCATATGAAATAAACAGGATCCATTCAATAGCCAGCACAGGACTGTAATCCTGAGAAAAAGACACAAATCAGGCACCTCCAATTAATCTCTATACATACTCTTCAGGCCACAGCAGAAAGAAGAAGAACCCCAAAAAGAACCAAAATTCTTCCAAAGTTGAGGAGACAAAGTTAGAGGTTCATGGAGGCTGGGAAAGCTTGACTATGCAG